GATGTTTCTTGAAGGATTGAATTTATGAGCATCTTGAGAGTTGGACAATTTCATAACCCTCTTATTTCTAAGATTGAGATGACAGTTCTCTTTGTAGAATTGACATTGAACTTCCTGTAGTCATACAACAGAACTATCAGAACATTTTCATATTGAATTAGGAATCATTCATTTTGTTGTGAAAAGGTGCTTCTACTTTATTTCATTAATTGTATTTCTTTATTCCATCTTTAATTAAATATTTGTGTTTGCTGTCTGGAATAAAAGCCAAATTAAGGAAGTATGGTATTAGAGGCACTTTATCCATTCTGAAGATGTCAGTGCATGATGGGTATGTGCAGGACACTTCTGAAAGGGCTGATGGTCATCTGTCTTGACAACCAGTGGATGACCACTTTAGAATTATTTGGTAATGTCTTTCTGAAGACCAGCTTGGTAATTTGGTCAGTTACAAACCTCACTGTTATAGGTTACTTCATGATCTCTTTGTCTTAAAAACTACTACAAAAATAGCTTGACAGAAATAGACAAAACAAACAATGGCAATTAGTGACCATTGTCAGAATTAATTGCCATTTTTGGATAATGATGATTACATGATGATGATGAACCAATGCAGTTGAAGACCATTACCAGAGTGAACAATGTAAACAGGCTGATGTTAACTGATTAATAAAACTAATAATAAGACATTTACAAGGTAGATAAACCAATGACTGGCTTTTGCCAGGCTAAACAAACCTAGCAGGTGATCAGTGTTAGAAAAAATGAAACGAGTAGGCAATCAGAATTTACAGAAGCAGATGACCTGTGTATGAGAGTATTAGGAGATTTGCTTTGTAATCACAACACAATTAATGTGCGCTCTCACGCACGTCAGACTTTCCCATGTGGCCAGACAATTAGGGTGGACCAGTGTGGCTGTCAACAGGGAGATAGAATGTCAGAAATATTGAAATCCAACAAAGGCATTATTGATCTTACAAAACTGCCATGTTTCCTTGTGCATCGTTATATCCTTGTGTTAGGATTAGCAATGTTGAGATGAAAAGGGAATTTTCTCCTCAAAACGTTTCTGGCAAACATGCTTACAATGATTGATGACCTGACTTTGATAACACTGGAGCTGGCCTCTCAGTGGACAGTGGTCAGACTTCCTAGTGACTAAACCGTATGATATTCTGAGGAGGCCTTGGAATGTTTTAACAAAAACATTGCGTTGGAAATATTCTCAGCTTTTATCTAAAAGTGTATTATTTCCTTTATATACTTGATGTTCTGTAAAAAGTATGTTGTGAATTGTTTTTAATAGGTGAAAACTTTTCAGTTTATCTTCCATTCACTTAAATGTTCGAGGGGCAGTGGGGTAGCCTGGTGGTTAGAGTGTTTGGTCATCACGCCAAAGGTTCGATTTCCCACTCGGGCATAATGTCTGAAGCCCATTTCTGGTGTGATATTGTTGGAATATTGCTAAAAGTGGCGTAAAACCCAACTCACTCACTCACTTAAATGTACAAGGTGGGCTGACAAAGCCACTCCAGCCATAACAGTGCGACAGTGCATATGGTACGTGCTAAGGATTTCTATGATTAGCTCTAACAAGGAAATGTTCAGACAGGCATATAAACAGTATATGTTTTCCCATGACTGCTGGTACATCTGTTATCATGTCCTGATATCTGATATATGGTAATTCACTGATACATGTGGCAAGACCAGGACAGGTATGATGCTTGTCCACAGTGAGGCAGTTTGATCTGCTCGTTAGTCAAGGTATTCACTTTGTTTATGTGTCTCTTGGTTTTGAATTTCTGCTTTTTAAACATGAAATATATTTTAACTGTATACACAAACTATGTATCTCATATGTGTGCCTTTTAGGCTAGATGCATGAATTTCAGTACAACAATTAAGCTGGTCAAAAAGTAATCATTTTTACAGCAACACAGGTAAGTATAGTAATTATTTAACTGAGATAGGTGAGTTAAAAATGTTCAAGAAATTGTAATAGAAACAGGTACTGAAAAATATTGTCAAAACTGCATGTCACAATAAATCCAAATTTTAAGAAAGGAAATCACTTATATCCATTTGAGGTAGGGGTAACTTATACCTTTTTAAATACTACATCTGTGAGATGGATTCCTCACCGTAGACTGGAGTCTTTCTCTAATCTTTTACTGATCATGGTGAAACTAATATTTTATATTTATATTTTCCTAATATATCAGTTATGGTAATAATTGATAATGAAATTTTGTAAATATTATCACTCCATGATGATATAGCGCAGACAGAACTAATGTAACAAATGTTATTTTAATGATTACATGTTCATGGTTTTCATGAACAAACATCCTATTCTAAATAGAAAATGTGCTAGTTTAAGATATTTACTATGTGCTATGTACATGTTTTTAGCTTGACTCTGTCGCACTGCACATTGTGTAGGCTGTTAGAAAAATGTCAAATATAACTGATATTTAAGTCTTATGAACTTGAATGTCTGATGTTGCACATGGTCATTGTTAATTGTTATGGCAATTCAGTGCTATATTGTTGAATCCAGTATTGAGGTCAAGTGTAAAGATATTTCCCTGTATTGCATGTTGGAGAACTAAACCTATATTGTATATGGGCTGGTATGCCAATGTAAGTCTAATCCATTTCCTTCTTACAAACAGGGGAAATACCCTTCACCCATGCACTGGTATGTAACACTCAAAGGATATACTACTCAAAAGAAGTTAGAGACATTGATTGTTTCATATATTTGCAGTTAATCTCTCTCTGAGTAGTATAAGTTTAAGGCTACATTGCTTACTGAAGTCATGCCTGCAGACTGTGATACATTCAGATTGGAACTTTGAAGTTAACTTATTGGAAGATGTATTTAAAATGAAAAGCTGTTATTTATGAAACAAATTAAGCTAAATTTAGCTGGAATACTGCTGAGTGCGGCGTAAAACTAAACTCACTCACTCTCTATTTCTTACATTGACAGTGTTTTTGGAAAGTGTTGACAAAACCATAGTTCCTTAGGTGATATTTGCAGAGACAAAATATGTTGGACATTTATAATATAATTTGTTTGTTAAAAATTAATGTTAATGTCAAACTTTTAAACATAATGTTTCGCATCCTGTCAGTGTTTCTTTTGTCAGTTTTGTAAGCATAAGCTAGGAGTTAAAATGTTTCTATGGAATATGCAAATCTTGCTTGCTTCCTGCACCATGTGTAACAGTCAGCTCATAAGGTCAGAACTGTGATCAGTTCTTTATAGTAATAGGCTTCTTCATGATGCCAAAATCCACACCAAGCACTGTAGTATTTAGGTTATGCAGTGAATAGAGTAAAACATTTATCAAGGCCTTCATAGAGGCTGAAACCTGTGAAGTTCTGGGTTAGAATTGATCTTCAGTAACCCATGCTTGCCGTAAGAGGCGACTAATGGTATCAGGTGGTCAGACTCAGTGACTTGACACATGTCATAGGTTCCCAATTGCACAGATCAATGCTCCTGCTGTTGATCACCGGATTGTCTGGTCCAGACTCGATTATGTACAGACTGCCACCATATAGCTGGAATATTGCTGAGTGTGGCGTAAAACTAAACTCACTCACTCTTGGAGGCTGACATTCCACCCAAGTGTACAGCAGATGTTGATAACAATTCCCATTTGGATATAAAGTATCATTTTTTAGTAATTCACCAGAACAGAATATTAATGAATATTTACAATTTTTTTAGGGAGAATAGGACATAAGGGTTCATTATGTCCTTTTTCAAAGTGAGATATGGAGTTATGGAATATGTACTAGCCTTGCAGTAGCACAAGTCATGTTAGTTTGCCAAGGCCACACATGGTATTGTTGACTATAACTATTACATAAATATTTGAGTGTCATGGGATCACTGGTTCAGTGGTTATTGCTGTGACAAAGTAACACTGTCAACATGGCGTCGATATTGTGCATCAATCAGTTAACTACAATATTGTATTCGTGAATAATTATTCGTATTCGTTACCCAATATTCGTGATACATATCATATTCGCCACGTAGTGTATCGAGGCAGCCCTAATACATATGATGGTTCTGGTTACATCATCCTCAGATGTGGCAGACGTTTCTCCTATGAATTAGATGATGGGTTCCCAATGTTTTCTTCACCCTCCACTGACTCACTAAGTATAAAGTAATCCTCTATTGTTGTCCATACAACTGCTTACCCTGTGCTGACTCCTGGGCATCTTAGGTACAGTTCTATGCTGTAGGATAGGTACAGTTCAATACCTGGCGATGATTAAAATTATTTTTTAAGGCAGCTGTCACAGTGTATTCAAAAGTTACCACATAAAAATAACACATTAAACCCTGTGAAATAAGAGTGCTAAGCAATACCTCAACAATGCCTCAGAAAGCTTCATGTGCATGTGGGGCGGTGGGGTAGCCTAATGGTTAAAGCGTTGGCTCGTCACTCCGAAGACCCCGGTTCGAATCCCCACATGGGTACAATGTGTGAAGCCCATTTCTGGTGTCCCCCGCTGTGATGTTGCTGGAATATTGCTAAAAGCAGCGTAAAAACCAAACTCAGTCAGTCAGTCATGTGCATGTTCCGTATGGCGATTTGGTTTCAGAACAGACTTGTCTGTTTACATGCTGCTGAGATGTGGCTGGGATATTGCTGACTTCTTTGTCCATCAACATTCTTTCACTTGCTCCCATGATCATTAAACCTGTAATTACACCTCCCATTAAAGAGGACTTGCAGTGAAAGCCCCAACTTTACAGGTAGCCAGAATGGCGGTCATGTTCCAGATAGTGATCCAGCAGGAACCAGGGAGCATCTCTGTGTAATCAGACCATGATACTTTGGTTTTCTTTGACAGCCTCTTGTATCTGCACGGTGCACTGATAAGGCTGTGACTTTTACTGACAGGACTTACACTGCATGCTCTCATACATATTTAATCAGGGAATCCTTTCTCTGTTTCAGTGAGTATGCTAATCCTGACCTCGTCTGTATCTCTAACCGTCATGCTACTGGGAACAAATCGCACGTGGTTTCAACAAAGGACTCTCACATCACCAAAGGTCGCCATCTTTGACTTCTTCACTGGACGCTACCCTGCCCCACAGTATTGTACAGTCCACTGGGAATGGAAGGAGCCTCAGGTTGTTGGGAAGACCGTTGCATTCAATATACGGGTAGGTGAAAGACTTTTTGTTTTTGTAACTGTGTGTTGGTTCAGCTCCTAAGGGCATCTGCTGATTGTAAGGATTTGGGGCGCTTTCCACAAGCGATTAAAATATAGTGCTAACATGGCTTTGTAGGTTCAACTCCAGGACAGGATAGGTCCACGAGTACCCAAGTCCTTGGAGCAGCTGATCTAGTTAGTCACATGTGACCTGATGTGACTGATTGTGTGTCACTGGCTACTGATGTGGAGCATGGATCATCAATCACTTGTTTGTCTGACCCACCTGGTTATTCACAAGCCACAGCAGAAAATGTAATATTGCTAAACATCTTCTGCCAAGAGTATGCTTAAGGATCACAGAAGGGTGGCCATTAGGAAAGATCCATAATAAATTTCCACTTGTAAATGTCATCATAGCCACTTGGTGTGGACCATTTTTCAACTTAGCTTCAGTTCCATGGTTTATACAAACAATTGTTTTTGTGAACACTGGTGTCATCACTATACTATTAAGTGATCTATTTGTATAGTTTTCACTCGTATTTTGCCTCTTGGGGCCGATGAAATCAATTTCATCTGATAATCAAGACAGTTTATTCTCTCATGTTGACATTATGTACATACATGTGAAACCTGGGAGACTATTGCTTGGATAATCTGTGCAATAGTTTGCAGGGAACTTTGTGGATGAAAGCTTGCTTTAACCCTCATTTCAGATCATATATATTGGATTTTTATGTTATAAATTCACAGTGTAAGGTGAGTCTTATGACAGCTTTGTACATTTGGAGTCAGCAGTAATTGTCCATTGTTTACTATTATTATTACTACACATATTTGCACAATCTGAAAATCTTGGGCAGTTGGGTGCATCACAAGAGCAGGTCAAGGTCACTGGAAGGTCATTGCATAACAGAGCCAGAAAATGTTCATCTATACTGGCAATGTTGTGAATTATGCATTTTCAGCAGATTTTTTTTTTCATGTAGTGAGAGAGAGAGTAGTGAAAGTGGTTAAAGGACATGATAAAAGGTTACATCTTATGCATGACAAAGTTGTAACCTACTTTTTATGAAACTACTGTAACACTGAATTCATCCAAGTTAACAACAAGTTATAACAACAGTAAATTTACAATTCTTATTCCACATTAACATATTAAGGTTATGTGCTGTTGGTAATTGTCACATGAAATTTAGTAGGTTCTTAACTACGGTGTGATGAGGTCAAAGGTTGTGAATGATCTTCAAGCTCCATTGTCAAGGACTTTGAAGATTTTAAAAGTCTTTTTCTTTTCTCCAGATCTTTTGTAAGTCTTTTGCATGCAGGGTTTGTTTAAATATCATCCTTTTGGTTTCTTATCAGAGTATCTTATCATTAGAATTGCTGTTCACACTCAAGTTTATAACATGATATGTATGTGTAGTGTGTTGTATATGACAATGGTGTCAGTAAACCAGTTAAACATATCACGCTGTGGTTGGAGCCTTACATTTTGAGATGCTGTTCAAGTTACGATTATTTTTTTTCTTCTATATGCATTGCACATTTGATGCACAGTCATCTTTATTAGCTCACCGGGGCTGTGGGTTAGGCTTGTGGTTAATGTGTTTTCTCGTCACACCAAAGCCTCAGGTTCTATTCCCTACATTGGTAGAATGTGTGAAGCCCATTTCTTGTTCAAAAAATGTGATGAAAGTTTTAATGTGTAGTTAGTATTTGGGTTCAACATGTATATATTTCCGTTTCTGAGTTAATTCCAGCTTTGACCATAGTTTGATATTTGTGCTTTGACCATATCAAAAGTTAAAAGCATTACTTTTCAATTCAAAATATGATAAAATTTGGTATGAATGTGGTTAGTAGTGGAGCTCTAAATGTGTTTTGTGTTTCACAATATTTTACATTTTATGTGGTTGTTCCTACATTGATGTCAGATTCTGTACATAAAGAAGATTTTAAAAGCTCCTTGACCTACTAAAACATTAGAATAATAATGCATTTGGCTTAGTTGACATTTTTAACTGTTCACTACCTATGCAGGTGATCTACAGCATCTGTTTCACTATTATTTATAAGATTTATCACATTTCATTATAAGTTAAATTGTGAATTACCCACATCACAGACCAATAGCATTTCAGTGCCATAACCATGACCCAGCTCCCAAATTCTCTTACAAGTGAAGATCCCAGTTAGAATTGGTCTTAAGTAACCCATGCTTGTCGTAAGAGGTGACTAACGGGATCAGGTGGTCAGGCTCGCTGACTTGGTTCACACATGCCATCGTATCCCAGTTGCGTAGATCGATGCTCATGCTGTTGATCACTGGATTGTCTGGTCTAGACTCGATTATTTACAGACTGCCGCCATATATATGGAATATTACTGAGTGTGGCGTAAAACTAAACTCACTCACTCACTTAAATTATGAATGTAATAACCTGGTCCTGATTGCTAGAATGCCACCAAGATAAATGAGCATACTTGGGCTTAAGAATAACAAATGATTCCTTTTGATGACTTAATGAAAGCATTATGTGTATCAAAGCAGACTACTTGTCTGCTTCGAAGGAAAACATCGCATGTATGAGACTCATTGCATGTAATTCTCCATAAATCAAGGTATCAGTTTCAAGCACTAATCTGTTTCAAGTATATATATTGATTTTAAACATTAAAGCTGTATTTACCGTAATGATTTTCCAAATGTGATTTGTGCTCCAGACTTTTTGTCAGTGGTTTTCTAAGATCCAAGTGTAATTTATTCCTAAAATAACAGGGAAGTAGGACAGGTTTGGAAAGAAACTGTTTCATCCGGTTTTACTGGATAAATGTCAGTTTCATTTTGCGTCTGTTTTTCTTTGCAAAAGCAATGTGATAAGCTTCAAACCTACAAAGGTTTTGCCAATTACTTTCTCAACTTGTTTTCTAAAGTTTCAGTCAAACAGGAAATTAACAAATGTTGCACATTGGGTGTGTTTTTCTGCTCCATAAACTGAAGAAAATATTTTTTTATTATTTAAAATAACTATGCATATTTGTATGGAATTCTTGTATTTCAGACTTTGAATGATTTTCTTGGAAAAAGAGTTTTCTTTAATTATATTTTTGCTGAAGTCTCAGCAGAAATAAATTGAGTCAGGTGTATAGGTTTTTCCATAATAGTTTTAGGTCGTTAACGATTTCTGTCTGTCTTTTGTAAGTTATCACACATCAGCAGTTGTAAAAGTTTCAAAAGTTATTTCTGTGTTAGTTGCTGTCTTGAAGGACAGAAGTTTAGTGGAGGTTATCGTAAACACATGGGATCATCACTGTTCATGATATATTTAGAATCATGCAGTAGAATCTGCTTTTAGTAGAAATGTCTGTGTTCGATTATGGAAGAGGCCCTTGTCACTTATATTTCTTATGATTAAACTTGTAATTAGATTGAGGAACTCGTGCTGAAAGTAATGTGATGTGGACCATTAATAAACCATTACTTACAATATCATGAGATTCAATAACTAACTTCAAAGCCTAACTCTTTATGCAGGTTAATTTTCAAAATGCTGTCTGAAAAAGTGGAGGTCAAGTGTGGTGCATTCATTTTAGACACAAGGTCCTGGTTAGAATGAATCTTCAGTAACCCATGCCTGTTGTAAGAGGCGACTAACGGGATTGGGTGGTCAGGCTCGCTGGCTTGGTTGACACATGTCATCGGTTCCCAATTACGCAGATCAATGCTCCTGCTTTGATCACTGGATTGTCTGGTTCAGACTCGATTATTTACAGACCGCCGTCATATAGCTGGAATATTGCTGAGTGCAGTGTAAAACTAAACTCACTCACTCGTTTGAGAGACACTGCACTTTGCTGTTCAGAGTTGTGTCTCTTGTAGTGTTGGGAATTGGTTGAGATCTCACAATTGATAATTGGTTTATTACCAACAAGCAATCATCGAAAAAAATGTATTAGCATCGTTTTTCAGATTTTCCTATACAGTTTGTTTTTGCAGATAAGTATAACTTGGTTCTCTCTTGTTTTTTGTTTTATTTAGAAAGTGCGCAAATTTCATTTGTAAATTTCTCATCCAATATAAAATGTTGCAACTTGCTACTTAAAAGTGATGACTAATATATCATGAACAAAAACTTCCTGGAGTCTTCAAGAAATATTCAGTCATGACTTTTCAGTAAGTAAAGAGATTTTTCTAAGAATTAAACATGTTTTCAGGCCCTGACAACTTCTAAGATATGTTCCATCGTCAAGTGTTTCAAACACCAAAACAATAGTTCCAAAATTGTTTGCATTCGATTATGAGAAAATGTGATCAATTGCTTGGTCGTTTGGTCAGTGTGACCAATCTTCGATTATTTTAATTAATTGGAACACCACTAGTCTCTAGACACATCAGAAACCAGTGAAAATGGGTTAAAAGACAAGTTCTCCACAATTGTGGTTCTAAGTTTTTCAGCACTAGGGGGGCATGTTGGTTTTACATAAGTGGAAAACATCTGAAACTTTGTCTCACTTGCATGAGGCTTCCTCCACATTAGGCTGACAAGCAGTGATTGGAATATTGTCATAAGTAACATTGAACCAAACTCACTCACTCACTCACTCACTCACTCACTCACTCACTCACTCACTCACTCACTCACTCACTCACTCACTCACTCACTCACTCACTCACTCACTCACTCACTCACTCACTCACTCACTCACTCACTCACTCACTCACTCACTCACTCACTACTCCAGATCCTTTTAGTCAGAAATGACTGAATATACAATCCATTACTGATCTCCATGGAAGAATTTGATCAATAAGTTTCAAGAAAACCTTTTCCAGATTCCCAGATGCTAAATAATAATATGCCTAACACACATAAACCGATCCAGTTGTGCTAAACTTTCTGTGTCTGGCTAAGGTAGCAGCAAATCAAAGATGGCCACCATGTAGTGACGACTTCACCATCGTTACAACTATATTGATTGAGCTTACTGCACCAAATGGGCCAGTTATGCCACTGTTGAAAGCTGGGGTCATAAAACAAGACTCTTGAGATAGCAAAACCCTCAACAAAATCTTTTCGCTTGAATTATTCATAGATGGAGTCATTTCCAGGGGAACCCATCAAAGTGCTAGTGGAGAATATCATGCTTAACCTTGGTGCCATTTGGTCCAATAAAACCACCCTTTTTAGATACTGTTTCTTGTTGCAAGCTTTAATTTTCTGATATAATTGGATGGGAAACTAGGCCATGAAGTACATGAGTTCGCTACATGGTAGACTGAATGAACATCATTTTGTGCTCTTCCTATAAGCCTTGAGTGATTGTATTGAATTCCTGTTACCGTCATTGAAGAACCTACAACAGAATAAGATTTGTGTAGATTAGCGTCTCCTTCACTGATGCAGGCTTGTCTCCGTTGGCTTTTGAAGTGCGCTTTGAACTGGCGACAGTTGAAATCACTTGTTTGAAGGGTAGTTTCGGGAAAATATGTGCTTTTATTCATAAAGCCTTTGATAAATATGATGAAGTGCTTGTTGTGTATATGACTTTTGCTGGTTTTGTGTTTTATATACATAGTTACATGTATTTACAAACTGACATGTCTCACAAAGAAATCTCATCGCAGTTTTTCCTGTCATTACATGTATATAAAAAATCTTGATGCTTCTAAACTCTTATGTATAGCTATTATCTTGTACTAGTATTTGTTTTCTTTAGACATTTTATTTAAATTCTTACCTTTCAACTTTAATATTAGAGGCAAGGACAGAGTGTAGTATTTGTAACAGTTGCAACATGGAACATAGCATTAGGCATCAGATTTACCTTCTTGTACAGCTGAAGTTTGGTGATTTGATTTTTGTACTTCCTCCATGGTGTAGTAGATGGTGCATTTTGCCTGGAGTGTATGCACGTCACTGTGTGAATGAAAAAATCAGGTTTTTTTAATATAACTAAGTGAACTACTGGTAGTTCCAGACCTGTAAAATTCAGGGAATGACCTGTGACATTTCCTATTGGACCACCACACTTTTTCCTTCAGATTGAAGGCGGCTTGGCATCAGATGTTTTTTGCATACTTGTGGAAATGAAAACATATTTCTAGTCCTGAATGTGACGTCAATCCCCATTTCACCTCACTTATCATCCCTCAGCTGTAAACTTACAGTCATGAATATGAAGGTTTTAGTTAATCTGTCACCATTTCTATTAAAACTCAAACATCCATCATTATTAAAAATAATTGGATGTTGTAAGTGAAATATCACCCAGTCCTGGAAAACCTTCGGCCATGACTCAGTGTCTGGTAGTGAAAGGTCAGGGATTCAACCTCAGTGGGAGATTGACAGGAGATATAATCAGCTGATTAATTACAGGTGGTTGACTTGCATTTACAAGGTACGACACAAACTAGGCTGATATTGATGTGCAAAACAGGCTTGTGGCAGGGTTGGAGATTGTACACACTGGTATTTAGGACAAATGAGGATGGTACTGTATTTACATCAATGACAGTGATTTTGGTTTCTGAGGATGTACAAGAATTTTGGATGAATTCATGTGTTTGTGTAAGGTCAGCATTTGTGTAATGTCTGAATAACATATGATACTGATGTCAAGCAGAGATATGGGCGGTGAGATAATCTAGTGGTTAAAGCATGCGCTCACCACGCCAAAGACCCAGGTTCGAATCCCCACATGGGTACAATGTGTTAAGCCCATTTCTGGTATCCCCCACCGTGATATTGCTGGAATATTGCTAAAAGCGGCATAAATATGAACTCACTCACTTTCTTATGTCGTCATAGTTATAACCAGACTCCCCTTTGTTGCTTTGTAAAATCAGAGAAACATCATCCCCAACTGAAATTTCACTTATGACAGTCTCCTGATACATGGTAATGCTTTCCTTGTCGAGGCTATGATTTAAGGTTTGAGGTTTTGCAATTTGCTGTCCAGAGTTGCATCCCTTAGTTGTGCCAGGAGCCACAGTCATGGTTTTGACCCAAGATTCACTCTGATAATGTTTAGTTTGCCTGCATCTTACCTGTAAGCATTGGTTTCTACAACCCTTTTATGTCAGGCTTTATTCCCAAATAAAAAAATATATATGGAGTATTTTTATTTATTTTTATTTATATTTATAAAAAATATTTTTGGGGGTGGGTGGTTTTTTTGCCAAGTAAACTGGGCATATATTTTAGGAACAAAATGAAGCTGGGCATATGATTTTAGGGACCAATGAAGCTATGTACATGTTTTTTCACATGCATGTTTTCTTTTATTGACAAGTATAACAAATAAACAAACATATCTTTCTAATTTGCATATCAGTAAATTAAGTTTAAGTGCTTAGGATTTTCTGAGGGATATATTCAGGGTTATTTCCTCCATTTGGGGAAAAGGGCAATTATAGTTGCATTTGATCGTTTCTGTTTGATCCATTGATTGATGTTTATAGTTGTAAAGTCTTTGATCATTTCAGGCATTTCCCACAGCACAAATATGTATGTGCATCAAATGAAGAGAATTCATCACTTAATGTATGCTTGTATGTATTCAAGAATATTGGGACTTATGTCTTTGCCTTTATCGTAGTAGATCATTAAACTGTTTCTCATTACAGTTTTTCCAGAAGAATGGCAAGCCCTATCCTGTGTCAAATGCAGATGGCATCTTGGTGGAAATCATGCATGCAGGGGTCAAGGTCGCCACCTCGATGGATTATGGCAGCGTGGAACCCACCAATGCAAACCTTGCAAAAGTTTCATTCACCGTCCACAAATCGGGAGAGTACAAGATATCTGTTATGATTGGTGCTAAACATATCAAAGGCAGTCCATTCACGAAAATATTTGAAGCAGGTGAGACATTTCAGATATTTTTGAATGAACAAACAGTGAATAAATACCCAAATTACAGAAACAATGATGCAGTTTCACACTAACACGTATTTTGTCCTGACCTTGTTTAGAAATTTGCACCAGACCATGGAACACAGCACTCCTTAAGCATCCACAGTATGATTAGCTATCAGATGTTCGTCCACCACAAATTAGTAGTATTATACAGTACAACCAGAAATTATTGAGAATTTAAGATTGTACATTTTAAAAAAAATCACTCATTACTCACGTATTAAATATGAATATTAGCAGAACATAACTCCAGATTCAAAGACAGGTGAACAGTTAGTATTTTTTTTTTGTCAAGTCACCATGGGCAGCAATGCATGCTTCAATGCGGCGGGGAATACTACTGATCAAAGAAGTTAGAAAGTCGTGGTCCATGCTGTCCCAATATCGGACCACCTTTTCTTTCATTTCAGCAATATTTGTCAGATGTTTCTTATTGACACTTTCCTTCATAAGTCCCCAACATTTTCTATTGGATTTAGGTCAGGGCTATAGCTTGGCCAATCTAATAATGTCATATTTTGGGTCCGAAATCAGGCCTGTGAATGCTTTGAACGATGTTTTGGGTCGTTGTCCTGCTGGAAAATCCAAAAATGTCCATAGAACATGTGAGCAGATGGAAGTAAATGTCCCCCGAGAATATCTGTGTACCACTCACTGTTCATATTCCATTCAATACACAGAGGGCTGCTTGCCCCTAACACAGATATGCCATCCCACACGCAATTTCGGACTGTACTTTGGGCTTGATACAAAGGTTTTTCAGTTTGTTTGGTCCAGAATTTCAGTGTATTAGGAAACAGCCACACAGAACTTTCATCTGAGAAAATCACATTGTCCCAGTTAAAATTTCTATGCTGTAAGCACCAGTTCAACCTTCGCTCCTTTTGTTCAGATTTCATGATCGGTGATGGAACTCCTCGACTTTTCTACCAACCCATTGCATGCAGCTCAGTTCTAATTGTCTCCTTACATACAGCCACAGTTCCTCTATCAATCATATCCAGCCTTAAGTTTTCTAAATTCCTTCGTTTGTTTTTAGAAACAAGAATACCAAGCCGCCTCCTGTCACCGACAGTCAAATTTCTGGGCCTACCTGTGCCTCCCTGGTGCTCAGTGCCATATCCATTTGCAATAGTTTTCAAAACACGATAAAGAAGATAAACACGGTGAAGATGGCCACTCCTATACTGTTACTTGTAGCATGTATTCTGTGTATGCTGACCCAAGTTTCCACCTGCAGGTCCTATAGATGCAAGTCAGACCGGCTTCATGAACTACAGCTCCACCGTTGTCTGCACCGCCCCGGCTCCTCACATCCACTCACCATAGAAACCAAAGACTCTTTTGGGAACCTAGCAGCATACAAGACTGACCAGAACAACTACTTCAAGATTCGTGTCAGAGAGGTCAGTCTTGGTGGAACTACTTGGTCAATATATGCCCATACTGTTTGACTGACTGACTGACTGACTGAGTTTGGTTTTATGCCGCTTTTAGCAATATTCCAGCAACATCACGGCGGGGGACACCAGAAATGGGCTTCACACATTGTACCCATGTCGGGATTCGAACCCGGGTCTTCGGCGTGACGAGCCAACGCTTTAACCATTAGGCTACCCCACCGCCCCCATACTGTTTGAAATACAAGATGGTGGCTTAACCTAGTTGTAAAGTGGTCGCTCATCACACTAAAGGCCCCGGTTTAATTCACCGTATGGAACAACGTGTGAAGATCATTTCTAGTCTCCCTCTCCATGATATTGCTGGAATATTGCTGAAAGCAGCAGAAGGCCAGACTCTTCCACTCCCTATACAGATGCGGCATTAATGGGTACAACAAGGACTGGTCGGCTCGGAGTCAGTATAATGTGTCTGAGTGGGGTATTCATGCTTCACTGCGGCATGGTATCTCAGTGGGCTAGCACTATAAAACCAGCTTCAGTCAGGGCTAGTACAAGCAGCCGCACATACACATACACACGCATGCACGTCGTCATATGAGCGAAATATTCTCAAGCACGACGTAAAACCCAATTTCACCTCACCTCACCCTATACAGATGCTGAACAGCAATGTGAAAAGGTTTATAGGGATTTTACTCAAGCTTCATAAAAATTGTTAAGTCCATTAAGTGGACATAGACATAGATGCTGCATTAAAGGTTATGCATTTTCGTCAGTGTAAGAAATATATATATGAGTCTGAGGTTTGGGGTCATGTTAGGATTCTGGATTTACGATATCAATTCCAGTTTGATGTCTCTGGGTACAGCATAAATCAATGATCTCCCCGAGTGTCTTTTCATGTCAGATACATCAGTGATAGTAAGTAATAAAATCAGAGAAATGGCATCAAATATTGGCAAAATCTGATATATTTGTTATCAAATATTACCTAGGTTCTTACATTAGGAATGACTAAATACAGCATTTCTTCAACTGAGTAATGCTAGAATTTCTTTTGAAAATTTCTTTGTTGAAACTTATTACCAGTACTTCATGATAACTTCCAAACTTTTTAATGTGTGATGTGAATGTGTTGTTTTTTAAACAGGATAGAACTAAGGTTACTTTGATAAAAAATTACAGTCAGGAATGTGGCTTTTCACATAAACTGGTTTCATGATCATCTACGTAATATCATCTACCAACCTGGCCCATGCTTGTCACTCACTCACTCACTCATCTAGTCACCCCTTACTTATATATACACAGTCATCCATTCAGTCACAACCATCCTCGTCACTTATCCATTCTGTCACATGTTCTCAACTCACCAAGCAGCCAACTATGGCCCCTGCACTGATTGAGGTAATGTTTAGATGCCAGATATTTTCTCTGTTTAAAGTGTATCTTAGACAATATTGATTTCACCATTACTCTCTTTTTATGTTTTAGGCTGGGAGCCATGTCAAATATGTTCCAGCAACCCAAATAATATACGACCCCAACGAGAAGCGACTTACTATGCATATTACAATGGAGAAAGCTGGTTGTTACCAAGCAACTGTATCATATGGAGATGTCAAGTTAAAAAATGGAGAATTCAATATTTTAGTTTTAAATTGTAAGTATCTCATACTCCCTTTCATCACAAGATTATCTCCTAACGTTGACAGATTTCCGTAACTGTTTATGCCTGTTGTGTATAAACATGAGCAGGGCTCGATTTAAAGAAATGAAACCTAATTGCACCCAGTGCAACCTTAAGTAGAAACCTTGTTGCATCAGATAAAAACAGGTTGCACCTGCTGCTCAATATAAAATCTTGTATAAAATATGATGCTTGAGTTTTGGTAATGATAGTTTAGAACATTATAACAAAAGAAATCTGTGACTGATAAGATTAGTTATCTTACTTCCTAAAATTTCATGAACAGTAAGTCCTTCAGTCACTGCTCATACAGTCATCAGAGTCACTCCTACAAGTCAGTTCCTCATCATCCTGTTTTCCAGCTGAAGTCTCAAAAATTTATTTGCATCTGGGTCAAATTAGACTAATAACTAGGTTGCATTTTGTAATATTGGGTTGCACCATTGCAAGTAACAAAGCACTAAATCGAGCCCTGATGAGATTGATACTGCTGTAAGAATCCTTACCGAAATATCACTCTGTGCAATAAACAAGAGGTTGTTATCCCTGAAGTTGTAACCTTTGTTATTGACCCACCAACTTCTAGAATGCCAATCAAACAATTTTCCTGTTGTGATTGACCATGCAGTGGTGTTTCATTGCTTCATTCCAGAACACCACCTCCGTGGTATAGTGGTTAGAGCATCCGCCCGGAGAGCGGAAGGTCGCGGGTTCGATCCCTGACCGCCTCAAACCAAAAGACGTTAAAATATGGTACTTGTTGGTCCCTGCCTGGCGCTCGGCATTAATGGGTACAACAAGGACTGGTCGGCTCGGAGTCAGTATAATGTGTCCGAGTGGGGTATTCATGCTTCACTGCGGCATGGTATCTCAGTGGGCTAGCACTATAAAACCAGCTTCAGTCTGGGCTAGTACAAGCAGCCGCACATACACATACACACGCATGCACGTCGTCATATGAGCGAAATATTCTCAAGCACGACGTAAAACCCAATTTCACCTCATCGCACCTCATTCCAGAACATAGGTTTGAATCCCAGAGTTGACTCAATGTTCTTGCTTTGTCAACACTATACCAGAGCTTGTGTGTTATATATCATACCAGTGTCTATGGACGTACCTGCCATGTCATGCTACAACTGAAATACTGTACAAAGTAGGGGTGAACATACTTCATAATCATTTTGAAGGATACAATTATCGGTTTGATTTTTTGTCATGTTTATTTTGCCTCAATAGAACAAGAAATACTTGGTTTGTAAATGCACAGTGTAAGAATAAGAACAGCTTTTTATGAGAACCAATGAACTGTAGGTTAATCTGTCAGGTGCAATTGTCAGTTGGACATATTTTCTGTGCCCAGATGAGGAGACAACACATGTTCACAAAAACCTGGCAAAGAAGAGTCACAACATGTGGTATGAAGCTCGTCTCATATCCTGCAACCACGAAAAGCTAGACAAGCCTAAAAAGGTCTATGTCTGTATATCACCAAAGGTATGACAACCATGTTCCACTACAAATTAATTGAGAGTTGAAATTTTACTGTCAAACATTCATTTTAGCTGATCTAATCCTTCTTACAAACCCCAGAGCATATATTTGGCTTGATTTTAAAGAGGTTAATATAAGCTTGTGCTAACCTTGATTGAAATTTGTTTGGTTGTGTGAGGTAGACATTTGCCAAGAGAAAAGATTTAGCTTAAATGCTATATTAACTGAACTAAATAGAACAAGAATAACACTGGTGAGAAATTCATTTGTTATTGGAGCTCTCATTAATGCTCAAATGTCTCATGAATACATAAATTTAATCACCTTCTTTCTCTCTAATTCTTCAGAATTATGTGTGGAATGAACTGGTGCCATAATGTTAAAAGCAATATTGAGCAGTCACAGGTAGTTGTCTGTTTTGACAACTCTTGTCCTGCTGCTGCTTATTTATTGTTTATTTTCTGTATTTCAGCAATTAACACTTAAGGAGTTTTATTTGAAAATCATTGGCAAAAAGCTATACGCCTTCAGGGTCTGCCCATCAACTAAGGTAAGAATGTTATTAGGTGTGTTCCTCTTGTAAGTTAAAATGGATCAGGCAAAGGCCATTAGGTCACAAGAACAACTTTGCCTTCAATAATGCCAAGATTATGCTCACTCAACATTTCACAAATTTATCAACATTTTCAGCTGACCTGATTGCAAGTGAAGTTATGTCATAGCACACTTGTCATGGCAAGTCAAGTTATGTCATATCTCTGTTACTTTTTTAACAGCTCTTTGACATCTCAAAGTTAATGAAACTGATCATCACAGCTTTCCTTATCATGCTCAAAGAAAGTTAAACATTACTCAGCCATTTCTTTATGTAACATGAAATGAGTATTTTGGTCTTAAGTCTTCAGTCTTTTGACCTTCACATGTGTCTTTGTCTGGTTCTACATCTCTGAAGTATCTGTAGCAAAACTGTTGTGGTTATCCAAGCAATGGCATTTCTGAAATTTGATAGAACATTTTCAGTCATTCTCAAACATGGCTACATATCCAGTTAAGCATCCATCAGTGTTATATGTGAACAGGGTGATATGACGTCCATTATTTCTTTTGTATATGCTTTTGTACAGAATATGAAATTCTAGAATCTATCAGGTGAGCTACAGAATTTTGTGTTTAATTAGTTGGTTTGTTCTGTTTAAAATCTGATTTCTGAGGTTAAGTTATGGCAGCCTTTTGATCCTGAAACTTTTGTCAAATTAAGCAGTATTTGCTCACAGATTTCTGATTTCTGATATCACATTTATTTCACATTTTGATGAATGTTCCCTATATTTCCAGTTCTACTTCAACGGTTTCAATAACCAGTATGAGGCGCCGGTGTTTACTATAGATGATGGCGCTCAGCCTCCCATTGTCCTGGTTGCCAAGGACAGGAACATCATTGCAGCAACGTTCACTAATTATCTGCTGAAAAATATAGGTACGTCATCACCTTGCATCTCATGTACCTAAAGCCAGATTATAGTAATTTTCTGATTTTCATTCAAATGCTTAGAAAATGTCAGGCGGACACATGAAGCAGGAAAGCTTGAAGTACATGCTTACGGTGTATTTGTAAAGAAAGGAACACACTGTCTTCATCTGTAGGAATTTGGGGACATGAACATCATGGATGTAAGGCAGGATATTTTGTAGTGATGTATTCAGTAAGGATGATGAAGTAAGTCATGTATTTAGGTTTAAAGCAAAAGCATTTCATGGTCATTCCTACAAAGACATTCAATCTTAGAGATGTTTTTAATAGCAGTTGGATGGACAAGGGGAACTGTATTTCATGAATCCCCTGCTTGACTGAGACAAGAAATGGGGGGGGTCTCTATTTACATTTTATGTTCGCTTCATTCAATTCCAATTTGTTGGGGATTTTAACCTTTAGGAGCTAGTGCAAGATTATGGTACTGAAATGCTGTTGGTCTATGAAGACTTCCATCATATGATCTTCACTTCTCCTTTTTCATTTTAGTAATTCATGGCCAGGTTAACTACAGGCTGGTAAAACTGGACTATTTCTGAATGGTGTTCTACACCTGTCTGAATATTGTACAATGTCTTTGCTAGGTGGATCAGAGACGTTTCTGGACAAGCAGACATTCTTTAATCATGAAGTTCGACAGCTGCACAATAAGCGTCTTCATGCTTGTCTCCCTATAAAGATAGACAGGTCAAGACTCTTACATAGTGTGAGTATATTTGCATATTGCCCAATGTGGATTCCTGGTAACATGGATAACCGTTACAACTTATCTGTTACAAGGACTAATTAGAAAGAGGACCAGGATAAGAATGGGCCCCAGACTTCTGTTTGTCGTCAGAAGGTGCTAACCTGTATTAGTTGGTGGGGTTTAGTGGCTTGAATGATTGCATATCTACAGACCAGGACAGCATGGGCTTGTGCTCATAATGTCAACCACTGGTTTTGGGTATTAGGTATGATACATCAGGAATGTTGTTAACTGCAGTTTAAAACACCAAACAATAGGCAGCGTTTAAAATTCCGCCTACCCGACCGTCCGGGAACGGTCTATTTTCATCTCGGACCCGGTGGTCTGTTAGATATTTCTCTGATCTTGATTGTGAGGCAGAAAATGCAAAAGATTTCTAGTTTCTAAACCAGGCCATGTAGCTTAGCTGTAACGTTACAATACATGCCGTAAAGTATTCAGAAACTTGATTTTATTTTGTTTTTTTATTGTTGAAAACCGGACAGGCAAGTTTGTATCCAGACTGGTAATTTTTTAAAGTTACCAGTCCGGCTGTCTGGCTTGGAATTTTGGGAGTTATAAACACTGCAATAGGATCAAGATGCCCTGAGGCCACAAACCTTGGAAGGTTTCACAGATGCTTATCCTGGGAGAAACAGGGTCATCAAATAGTCAACCATCTGTATGTACATGTCCAACATGGGTAGATACATCAAACGAGGTTCAAATCAATTTTTGGGTATTGTACATCATCAGGCAGACAGTAAGGACAACAGTTCTAGGATGAAAAATAGTGGTCAAATATCTTGTCTCCCTTTGGTTAATATCTGCTGCTTCCTGGCTCCACACCTGAAACCAGTGACATTGTTAATCCTGGTCAACCCTAGCATGTATCATCAGCAGAGTACCAGCTGAATGTTTGTGACTGCTCAAATTTTGCTGACGTAGATCTGAGGATATTCTCAAAGTAATAGGCCTACAGCCTCAGTGGTCAACATGTAAATGGGCTCTACAACACTATGACGTCTTGTGATCTTGTTTGTTTCTCTTCCAGTCATACAAGGCAACAAAACATTTTGATCTCAGTGACTGGTGTAAGCGGTTTGAAATAAACTTCATTGGAGAAGAAGGTAAGCAGGGTGAATGTTTTGGGTGGAGAACAGCAATCTCATTCTGATGCAAACATAATGCCGGAAAGAACCCATAAAAAGTACAGCTTAAAATATTCTTATGCCTCCTGGTGACACAGTGTTCTTTAAACCAGTGTCACTTACAATCTATGATTATGTGTTTTACAGGCCTGGACTGGGGTGGGTTGCGGAGGGAATGGTTTGAGCTTCTTTGTACAGAACTGTTTGACCCCAGTGGTGCTGGTCTCTTCACAAGGTTCACAGATGACACTCAGGGACTTGTGAGTTTACATCTGTTGTTTCTGGTTAGGGAAGTAGTACCTTTGCTGCAGTTTGATCTATCCAGTTATAGGTCATCATCAAGTCATGCCAACATTCTGGATGATCCCAAGTATTACATGACCTGAATATGTCAAAATGGAATTTTCTTTCTGCAAAGAATACTAAATGTTATAGTTGAGCTACTGATAAAGATTGCGGTTGTTTGGGTTTTGTTGATAATTACTGTTATTGTCAGTGTTCATGAATAGCGTCTGACCCTCTGACAAATCCGGCAGATTCACCAACGGTCTGATGTAAGTCAACAAGCCGCCGGTCCCAGTGTCTGACTGTATATTTCACAATGACTGTTATATGTGACATGTGACCCTTGTTTGCTGTTTATAAATCTTATGTAACATTGTAACACCATTCGTGAACACTGTATTGTGATTCTGCAACTGATTCAGGTTCATCCTAACCCTAAGAGGCAAACAGATCGGAAACTCAAATACTATGAGTTTGCTGGGAAGGTGGTGGGCAAGTGCCTTTATGAGTCATCGCTAGGTCGACCTTACAGACAGCTGGTCAAGGCCAGGTTCTCACGCTCATTTCTGGCTCAGCTCATCGGCCTCAGGGTCAACTACAAGGTCAGTTCAGGATCCACAATTCAAGAATTTTTGGATAATGTGCTGTGGTGAGTGTGACTTGGACTGAGGCTGGAGGGACTGGGATTTTTGTTGGAGATAATTTTGGATAATTTTCCATTCTCTGCGGCAGAACACAAACATTAGAACCTTAGCAAACTTTGTGTGTTTTACTTTCTGTGAGAGCAAATTATTATTATTTTTTGCAGCACTATTCCCCGTACATTTGGATAATCATTGTTATGATATTATTTGGTAGTTAAACACTGGACTACTCTTACCATTACTTCTTACCTTTCCAGTACTTTGAAACAGACGACCCTGAGTTGTTCAAGACGAAGATCCAGTACATAGAGGAGCACGACATCAACGACATGGACCTGACCTTCTGTGAGGAGGAGTACTCAGCACAAGGCCAGCTGGTCAGGGTGAGGAGGCTGGGGGGAGTCTGAAGGATGCTTTAACATATAGCTCTGTCCTGTACAGACCCATGAAGATCTGGGTTAGAACAGACCTTCAGTAACCCATACTTGTCGTAAGAGGCGACTAACGGGATCGAGTGGTCAGGCTCGCTGACTTGGTTGACACATGTCATCATATCCCAATTGCGTAGATTGATGCTCATGCTATTGACCACTGGATTGTCAGGTCCAGACTTTATTTACAGACCGCCGCCATATAGCTGGAATATTGCTGAGTGTGGCATAAAACTAAACTCACTCATTGTCCTATACACTACAACAGCTAGACATCTGAATGTTTCTCAGTCTGAGTAAACTTGTATCAAATGTTTGATGCATTACAATTTTAAGCTAAGAATGCCAGCGTATCCAATTGTGGTTGCACCTCTCACAGTCTATACAACAGTAAAGTAGTATTATTAGCGATCTGATGTTGCAGGCAGTGTACCCGGTACCTTGTGGTAGCCATGTTAAAGTGAACATGTACAGTGTTTTATTACCGCTTCTCTAATAACCTGGTATTAAAAATGGCATCATTCAATTGATCTGATAGTGTAGACAGTGGACTCGGTACCTTGAGGGGGCTGTGTTAAAAGTGACCTTGGAAAATTGTTGAATTTATCATGCTTTCTCCGTCATGCCATCATGTGACAGTACAGTGACGGAAAGACTTCCAAAAGGTCTTGTACTGGGCATGTGGAGGACATTTCCAAAATTATTCAAATCCAAATACACTTCTCAATATGATCCATGTTTTTTTTCTGGTGAACAAAACTTGACTTGACTTTCTTTTGCATGTGTTTGTGATACAATCACATTTTCTTCAACACCTGGTATGATCACTATGTGATAGATGTTCTGAGACAAACGCTCATGATGAAGCTTAAATTGTACAATTGACTCGGCTTTCATCAGAGATTTCTTATGAATATCTTTAGTGTTGTGTCAACTTTATCATTGTTTTGATCTGTTGTTGCAGACAGTTGACCTGGTGCCAAGTGGCAGCCGTGTTAAGGTGACCAACAAGAACAAGCTTCGGTATCTTGACCTGCTGGCCCAGTTCCGGCTGACCGGTGCGGTCAAGGAAGCGGTGGATGCATTCCTGAAAGGGCTCAATGAGCTCATCCCAGACAACTTGCTCAGCATCTTTGATGAAAATGAACTTGAGGTGACATTGAATTTTGGTCTTAAGTGTTATCAGTTGTTAGTAACTTGAATGTGGAAGTAAACAGGTGATTTACATGAACACGTTTCTTTTATCAGTTTTTGAGATAGAACACGAAAAGCATTTACAATTTCATCTGGAAACAGACTAATTGGCACACTTGGAATGGTAGATTCATGAAGTTGTGTTCCTAGTTATGAAGCAAAGCATTTTGCTAAAAGGTTTAAAAGCAAATTCTTAATGGATGCAAATTACAACTTCTTACAGGTGCAGAAAGATTTAGTAGTTTATATCAACTAAAATAGAAATAGAATGCATGACAAATATAATTGGCATTCCTATTCAATTAGGACATTCACTCAAAGTTCAGTGTTGGTTTTCTTCGGTCTGACATTGAACTCCCCATCTAGAGTATCCTTAAACTTAAAGCTTCTGAATGTATGCAGTGAAATATTACTTGGTGTCCAAGAACTGAACTGATGTAATAACATGTAATAACATCAGTGCAGTTCTTGGAAACCAAGTGAAGAGTTCTACAAGCTGTAAGCCTAGGACCCCATGTTCATGACTTGGGCAGCAGAATTAGAACTGAGAATCCTTTGAGCCTGGGAGTAGACAGACCCAGGTAAATTCCTGCATGCAATTGCTACAAATTCACAGTCCCCTGGAATACCCCGGATGACAATACATTGATGTGTTTCAGTTGCTGATGTGTGGTACAGGTAACTACAGTATTGCCGACTTCAAGCTACGACATACTGTGGTGGGAGTAAGTCCAGCATTCACCAAGGTACATTTGTTTTTTGGAGCCTCAGAACAACTGTTCAGATGGTGCTTTGTAGTAGCACCTGCTGAGGGCTTCATGTTCTAGTTCTGAGATGTTCACTTGACATTTATCAGGAGAAAAGTCAAGGTCACTGTACAACACATTTCCCATCAAGGGTTTACTGTTATTTCTTCTCATAAGAAACATTGCTTTCATCTTCCAGCTTATATTTTAACTCCCCTGGAGATACTGGCACCTCTGATGTCACTCTGGTCATTCTATTCAGGTGCTGGAGTGGTTCTGGACAATCGTCGCAAGTTTCACAGAGGAGCAGATGGCAAGGCTATTGCAGTTCACAACAGGCTGTTCCCAGCTACCCCCTGGAGGTTTTGGAGAACTCAACCCCAATATCCAGCTGAGCTCCTCCCCCACCTACAACACACTTCCAACAGCACACACATGGTGGGTGACAGCTCTACTAGCTGAACTTACCTCTTTCTTGATATCTGTTACATTGCACATTGAAATTCCAGGGCAGGGCCTAAGTAGCTTTCCCATAAGAACTGACCTGTGAAGATTGGAGATAACAATTGGAGAATTCACTCATTGTCATATTGCCTTAATGGTTTAAGATACAAGGATGTTTTAGATAAATATAGAAGTACCTAAATATTATCCAGGTGTCTTGGCAGCCATTTGTAATACCATAGTCCTTCAAATGCATGATGTCTGGTCCAGACTGGATTATTTACAGACCGCCGCCATATAGCTGGAATATTGCTGAGTGCAGCGTAAAACTAAACTCACTCACTCACTTCAAATGCATGACCAGTGATTATTTCTGTGAATAGAAGATGTTAGATGTAACAGACTAGTTCTAGATACACTAGTGTTGATGTCTAAATGGGTTTTTGTTTCTAATGTACATTCCATCGTGTGATTGTATCCAATGATTGGTTGTTTGATCATCTCTTATCTTGCCATCAGTGCAATAAACTGTTTACAATGGGAAATGTCAGGTGTATCAGACTTATTTTATAGATACATACACTTTTGTGTTCATGTCTAAATAGATTGTTGTTTCAAGTGTACATACCACCTGTGTGAATGGTCCTTTTTGAATTTCTATTCATTGAAGTTGCAGTTTGAATTAATTGAAACTTGTTTTCTGTTTTCTGTTGTCAGTTTCAACCAGCTATGTTTGCCTGACTACGACAGTATTGAAAACTTCCACCGATCACTGCTCCTTGCCATCAATGAAGGCAATCAAGGCTTTGGGATGGTTTAGTTCAAGTTTGGGTATGTGCAAGTCTGAGTGTGAACATGATCCAGTAGATGTTACAGGGTACCAGGGAGGCTGTCTTACCTAATCAGAGACTGTTTCCTTCCATTTCTCCTGATAAACGCTGGATAGACGATGGACAAATGTATTTCAGAAAAAGACGGATGAATGTTTTCCGACGACTACACTGTTTCCACTGCACAGCCTTTGTTAAAAGGACGTAGATGTAAAGGATATTACAGTTATCATCATGACCATCATCATTGTTGTCATCGCCATCTTCATCAATATCATCATCATTAGACTTTAGAACAACTCCAGGTCTGCCCTAAGTGATGAACAAGGAGGCAGATGATACGAAATATACTTCCAAGGGATGTTTAAGTGAATATAGTAGACACTGACATTCGAGATCTAACATTAATGATCTCTCTTTCTGAGCAAGAACATGACTTCTGAATATGAAAGGAACCCCTGAAATGGTAGTGTCTTCAAACCCAGAATATACTTTCTGAATGGGGTAGGGTACTCTCTGGCAACTATAGAGATACCTAACCAGCAGCAGGACTTCCAAATGGATACTCTTGTTACCTTCTGTGATCATTATGAAACTAACGTCATCAAGAAAGAAGATGTCATTCAAATCAGTGCTTTTCTAGTGTCCAAGGAAAGATGTGGAATATGAACAGCAAAATTTTCAGATATTCATATGATTGTATTAGGTATATATTGCCTTCTTCTTGTGTGTCCTGGGGAAGTGTGGATGCTGTGAGAAGGTGCTGTTGTTGATACAGATGCTCAGATAAATATGACATGTATCTACTGCATTCTGGCTCTGGTCACAGAGGACATGAAGAGGAACCTCTATAGCTTGCAGGAGGCAGATAAGGTGTTCCATCAGTTACATTTCAGAAAGGAACGGATGACCTCTGAATTTTGAAAACGTCACTGTATTTATGAGGATCAGGTGTACTCGATGGATGTGACAACATGTAACAGATCTACTCATTGCCTGTACAGCAGAAATGGGAACAGCATCTCTTACCTTCCAGTAGGATGGATTTCATTATGAGTCAGTATCATAAGGAATTATGTTTCTATCACCTTGACTTGATGACAAAACACAACAGATATGCTCTTTGCTCTGTACAAAGACATACAGGCATACCAAGATCTCATTTGCCAGGGTATAAGGGATACACATTTTGAACCAGACTTGTATAACTGTTACTTTTACTGAAAGAATGGGGAACACGCATCAGGCCCCTCATCCTCCTGTCACAGCAAAGACCTACTTCATAGAAGAAATGGGAAACCAAGTCCTTTATGGTCTGTTTGCAGTGAAAACGCAACGATGAATTTTACTTTAAACAAAAAAGTAAATCAAATAAAGTGAAATTCAGATTGGGAATCCTCATAACTTTACCTTGCCAATTGAAAATTAAAATCTCAGATTTTTATTCCACATAGGATAAAAGTTGGTTAACAAATGACCATAGTTTCAAATCGCTATTATTGGTTTGTATTACAAGGGGGTATGCACATTAAATGAAACCCCCAGGACAAGAAGGGTTGGTTTCTACGATAGTCTAAGTTAACACTCATCACGCACCGCACGTGCATTTGTTTCACTGTTCCAACTGCTGCGCTTACCCCCTTGTAATAGAAACCAATAATAGCATTTTGAAACTATGATCGTTTGTTAAACAACTTTCAACCTAAGTTAAGCAAATTTCTGAGACTTAAATGTTCAGTTGGCATGGTAAAATTATGAGGATTCGCAATCTTAATTTCACTTTATGTGATTTACTTTTTGCTTAAAGTTAAATTCATCGGTACGTTTTCACTGCAAACAGACTATAGTATATTGAAAACAAACCCAACTGTTGTGAAAGGCACACAAAAACAGGCTGTTTATCATAACGTACTGTAACTGCTTCTCTTAGAAACAGTTGAAACAAAGTTTCAGGAAAACTACCACCATCACCATCAGTTGTCAGGCTGATACCACAATGGCACAGTGTCCCAGTTGGCACCATAATAGAACTGAAATACCAATTATTGTGCTTTTGGTTTGGTCCATTCCTTTATAGACAATCATCAACAGTAACTATGTCATCTGTTTAATGCTGGCCAAACATGACGTTGCCACTCAGATAAGACAACATTTGTTGAAGCTTTCGCTAGATCTTTTCAGTGTATTTTAGTCCAATCCTTCCAATGAAAGTCAAATCATGTCTTTCAAATGAACATCTACTTTGATAAAAGCAGCATTAGGTCTATCGATTTAGAAATATCACTTTCCGTTCAAAGAAGAGCAGCATTTGAAACTGGTGTTTTTGAAAAACACATATAATATATGTTATATGTTTATTATTTTGTTAGATATTAATGATTTCTTAATGATCGTTGTTGATCATGAAATACATTGTAACAAATATCATGTTTGGGATTACACTTTCTTTTAAAGTGAAAATTCTAGAACTTTCTTGGGTTGAGACCCTGATGTAGGAAATTCCAAACATATATTTCCTATGCTTACCAATTTCAAAGAGTCTATGTGTATTCAAGAAATACACTATTAATATTTCTACCAGAAAAGCTGCCTAATAAGTAATTATTACATGTGATCTCCAAAGAATACCTCAATATGGTTGTGTAATAATGTGAAACAAGAAGCTGACTTTGATCAGTATAAAGCAATATCAGATCATCCTAAAAATCATTTGTGAGGTGATCAAACGCCAGTTTTTACCATCATCACATATCATAACTTGACTTCTTCAATCAAATCAAGATTCCAGATGTTACTTCATATTCAGTACCACCAAAAATTCCTATATCATACATCATGGTAATAAAGTTTTTTATTTATAAGTATTTCAAAAGTACTCTCTCAGCATCTGTAACCTTTCTTTTAAGTTGGTTCATCTCGGCCAGTTTGGCAGGTAATGACCTAATAGCTGCGGAAGCAGTTCGGATTGCAACTGGACAACGGTCAGTTTAGCTAAGAAACTTTGAGAGTTTAATTCAATTGACCTTAATGAGATTTGCAGACAGACAAGTTACTATTCTGTTTGGTTTGTCACAAAACATGAAACTTGTTACTGATTACTTCTGTTATGCACTAATCTGAAACCTGAGATATCATGTTGGTCTGTACAGTTTGCTGCATGTTATATTGTGAAACAACATCCATCTCTTTATAACATTCTCTACAACAATGAGGCGTCAGCCGGTGTTAAACTTGTATTCTTGAATGACACATACTTGACATAACTTGTGGAGGTCAATTCTGTATGCCATTTCGGAGACCTTAACCTGTGCAAACTCATATATATCCATATGTACAGTCCATTTCTGTACGCCTATAAATCATGTACAGGACTGAGGTCACACAGAGTGGACTTATACCAGGATGTGTGTCACACTTAACAAGCATCAGTCTTTTCAACAGCATTATCATTCATGTTGTAGTGAAATTTATCTCAGACATACAAACCTTCACAAACAGTAATGCTGGAATTGAGACATACAGGACTTCAGAAACTTTATTTTCTCAAAGCCATTGTTAAAAGACAGATAAGAATGCAGTCTAAGTAAACTTAGGCTCAGTATTATTTGTTACACTGCTATATTGGGTCTAACAAACCCCAGTAGAAGGTCACATCAGCTAATCTTTTGAGTTGACCAATCAGAACACAGCTTACCAAATTAACGTTTGAACCTTTAACTTGAAAATGTTTGCACTTGAATGATTCCTAATGGTATTTTCTGCACGATCGGAGGAGGAAACCATTATGCACAATTAGTGAAGTGAGGAAACAGTCGCTGAAAACAACATTTTTTGTCAATATTCCATTATGTCATCTTGTGGAAATATAAGCTAATAGAAACCATGTCATTAGAAAACCCTAACCACGTGTATATTTAGGTTAAATATCTGTGTTTTATGCAGATTTTCATTTGTTGAGAGATCAGTGTCAAGGATCGGGAAGGGAAATGAAAAACACTTCACACAGAAACTCAAACTGAATTCTGAAAGAATTGAAAAGATAAACTAGTCATTGGTGATTTTGAAAGGGAACCGTATTTCATGCTGAACCCTAAATAGTAGCCGTTGTCTGATTGTTTAAATCTGTTCGGGTGTCTCTCGTTTGATTGGATGGTCATGGGTCGCTCAAAGGTTAGCTGATGTGACCTTCTACTAGGGTTTGTTAGTCTCAGTAGGGCAGTGTAACGAATAATACTGAGTCTAGGTTTACTTAGACTGGATGAGAAAGGTGTTTTAGCCTTTAAAATGACCCCAATTCGTAAGTGAAAGCTTCCAGCAATACTGTGCTGTTTGTTAATTTGTGTAGAAGTTACTACTTGAGACCTGTACATAATATCTATACATTATTACCATGTAGATATTTGCTCAGAAAAAAACATTACCTCTGTATTTTATACACAATTTAGATTTGTTTATGTTATATCATTTATCCCTGACATGTATGTTGATCTGTGCAAGCTTTGATGTAAACTAGAGTCGTTGTTGAACATGTGCAAGTATACTGGTATAACACAGTTGATGTTGTGAGGAACAGATCAACATCCCACACATTGAAAACCTTTCTAGGATCATGATCATAACAAGTATGCAGTAGCTGTTGCTTTTCTGATTTCTTTCTGTGTGAGACCCGTGAAGATCTGGGTTAGAATTGATCTTCAGTAACCCATGCTTGTGGTAATAGGCGACTAATGGGATCAGGTGGTCAGGCTCGCTGACTTGGTTGACACATGTCATCGTATCCCAATTGTGTAGATCGATGCTTATGATGTTGAACACTGGATTGTCTGGTCCACATGTGATTATTTACAGACCGCTGCCATATAGCTGGAATATTGCTGAGTGTGGCGTAAAACTAAACTTACTCACTCACTCAACACAGTAGAGGAGTACTTTTACATCAGTGTATTTACTTTGTAGTCTGATAAATATATATTATGTGGAAGAATCAATAGCTATTACTCAGACTGAATTTTAAATCTTTATAGCATTTATCATTTTGAGTTTCTTCATTTTGGTCATTTGGAGAGCCCAACTTTTGCTATTAAAGTATGAAACATTTTGTTTAAAAGATCAAAGATCAGTTCTTGCCACTCTGAAGGGATATGTCATGAAACTTCTTTTACCTTCTTCTCTATATCAAAAGTAAGCATGAAGCATTTTCCTACCACTTTCAAAGTTGTGAAAATCAAAACCTATTTCCATGATATGTATATAATTTTATTCAGTTGTACACTTTCCCACCCAGTATGAAATATATCAAATACTCGTAAATCTGAAATAAACATGTATAAAATTCTTGTTCTTGCCTAAAACTCATTGTAATGTTCCTTTACGAAAAGGGATGTCATTTCTGTTTTTGTAGAATATAGAAATGTGCATGCTTTGCACTCCATTGTTTATGACTAGTTAAGATTGGTCATTAGCACCAATGTTATGACAACTGTTACTTGAGAAGCAGGTACTGTCTTTTTACTTCATATCTAAAATGTCTGAAATTGTAACAATACACTGTAACTGTACTTTCTTCTTATGATGTGTCATCTCATTTGTAAAGATATGACTCCCAGAATCACAGGTACTTGTTTCACATAGTATTTTCCTACATGTTCTTTGATTAGAGTAATGTTTCATCAATTGTTTTCACCTATCATGAAAGGATGGTAACATGTACAAATTCATAAACATGAAAGATCTCATTGAACTATATCATTGACTGACCAATACTCCACTAGGTGACATGTATGTTCCTTGATTGTCCTGTATAATAATATCTGTCATAACATAGTATAACTATATCCATTCATATCTTATTCATCTTAGTAATGCTTCTGTGTCCTGTGACTTAGGATCAACTTCTGTGTCCTGTGTCTTAGGACCAATGTCTGTGTCCAGCGACTTAGGATCAATTTCTGTGACCTGTGACATAGGATCAACATCTGTGTCCAGCGACTTTGGATTATGCTCTGTGACCTGTGACATAGGATCAACTTCTGTGTCCTGTGTCTTAGGACTAATGTCTGTGTCCAGCGACTTACGATCAACTTCTGTGACCTGTGACATAGGATCAACTTCTGTGTCCAACGACTTTGGATTATCCCCTGTGACCTGCAACATGGTTTCAATGTCTGTGTCCTGTGACTTAGGATTGAAGTCTGTGTCCATTCATGGCTGCCACGATAGAGCTGTAACCCAGCTCCAACAGCATACAGGACTATACTTTAACATTTACACTTGTGTCACGAGTCATGGAGTCCTTTATGCAGAAACCTTGATCATCATGTCCATGGAAAATAAATCACGTCACGAAGAAATTATATAATGAGTCACTATCACCAATCTTCCCTGAGCTGTATCAAACAATTTACGTTTGGTTTCTACTGCAATTTATCAACATTTTTTAGATTTATTAAGAAGGAAAATGTTGTTACAATTACAGGAAAGATTCTGCTCCGATACTTTCTATGTTAAATACTCACATAATTTTGATGTATTCTTTCTGGTATCATTTGTGTTTTCAGTTCT